GGAACTTTAATTTTCCCTAGCATGCGTGGCGTGTCTGTGCGAACATAGAGGCGCTTCAAGGCGCTAGAGCGCCATATTCAACACATTACATGTGATCGATTAATTATCAGTTATGCGACTAATATTAAATAATTCATTTTGGATATAATAAATTACCTTCATTATCGTCATTCCCTCCGATAGCTAACAACGTACCCAGAGTGGCTTTTCTGGGTTTCGTTCTGCCTGTTTGAAGCAAAGGTCTTCGCTCAGGCAGCAAATGATACTTCAATGCTTCCATTACTAATTCCTGCACCATTCTTTGGTCTTTGAACAATTCGTTATTCTCAATATTGTCAGCTATGAACTGTTTTGATTTATTTAGTGCTAATGCACAAGTTCTGTAGAGTGAAAAAATTGAGCTGTCGATGAACTTACCGCGGGTGATAGCAATGGTAATTTGACTAAACCTAATAATTTACTGGCATCTTTGCTCCTGTTTTCTGGATCGTGTTCCAGCCAAGTCACTAGAGCCTGGAATAATAATAAAACAATAACGATTCTGTTTATTCTGTATCTCAGGTTAGGTATTTTAATTGCATTTGTATGAAATATTTGCTTAAGCAATTATAGAAATATATATTTGTATATTTATGATCAATAGTATAGCTATAAAAAACTTATCGCTATGATAACATCTCTTTTTTAATATTTCATATAAATTGGTTCGCTCAACAAACAGTTGTCTTACATGAAAGATAGTTTCTTCTGAAGGAACATTAAGATCCTCAGATTCAAGTAACTTTGCAACTTCATTGGCAGATAGCAGTAAGAATTCTTGATTTTTTGTAACTTCCATGAAATGTTTGGTAGTGTATGCGTGTGCGTATTCAAGCAATTCCGAACAACCCTGCGTATCGGCGAACATCCGTATGCCCAGACAGTTGCTTGGGTGAAGTTGTTTGACGAGAAACTGACAGCACGCTTTAATAACTGGATTCAATTGTAACAAACATGCTGTTGCAAGTAAAGTCTCTACGCTATCTTCCTGCAATTCTACGCAACCTGCAATACATATACAAAAAAACATGTTATTAAGAATTGATAAGAAATCCAAAAATTAACAAGAACGGCTTAAAAAAAATATCTGCAAATGCCTTTATCGTAACGTTAATATTCGTAAAATGTTTTCTTACATGAAACATATCTTCTTAAGCAGAATTACCTGTATAACAATAAAGAACCAAAGCCCATAAAGCATCTCCATCAACATCTATTAATTCTATTTCATTTTGTGCCGACTCTCGCAGAGGGTTTGTGAACATGGCAGCAAAATATTCTAAGCCAGCACTGAGTACTAATCGATGAGCTGGGACACGCTTATTTCCTAAGAAAAGCACAGAACAGAGTAAGAAAATATGAGAAATGGGATGTCACAAGTTCATCGAGTGCGAAGAATATTTTCAATATGTTGTGTACAAAATATACTCTCTCTTCAATTTTTACTGATTAAAAACTTTAAATAACAACTTTTAACAATAAAAAAGATTTCTCTTTGAATCTCTTGACTATACATAAAATTATATTAGAAAATGCACATTTTATGTAAACATATTGGTATAAAATAATAACTCTCCTAGTTGTTATTAATTAAAACATTTGATTAACTATTATCATCTGAATCATTATAAGTCCAATTGACAGTTGACACATAGGTGCGTTGTTATCAAAACGAAAAGCATCCCAGAACCCGGTAAAGGGCGGGTACACTCACCCGCGATCAGCGTGACGTCTGTTAGCTGTTGCTTGTGCAGATAACTCTCCATAATTCGGAGGCTACTTTCCGCGTGCTCGGGCGAGATAGACACGCATGACATTGTGGGGAAATTATTTTGAGTACGCGCTGCACCTCGAATATCAATAAAATTATGCTTATTCGACAAGTTTTGACACGAAACGAAAGAATCTGGCAGAAAAATGCGGCGGTCTGCTCTGCGAAGCCAAATATTTAGCGTTAAAGTTGACGACTCTCAGGTTAAAAAAATTTTCCTACTGGACAAAACACGTCTGAACTGCCCCCCGCACGTTGAGCGAATTGCCCCGCGGCGCGCGCGGCCGACCACATGTGCATGCTGAATGCTCCATTTTAGCTCTGTGGCCACATGCGCATGCTCCGTGGCTGCACGCGCATGCAAAAGTGCGCGAATTTGAAACGTATGCATTGGTCTAAAATATAGCTGAAAATTGATAGATGTATCTCCTATTTGTCACAATGCCAGGGTGCTGTGAGCTAATAGCTGTCTGTAATACCTACACTTGTTTTTAACAATGGGTGCGTTCAGCCGATACTCGGCTAGCCTAGCAATCGTGAGCAGTCGCTCGTTTCCTCTCCTTTAACCATTGGGTCAAAGGAGAGGAAACGAGCGAAAACGAGCGACTGCTCACGATTGCTAGGCTAGCGGAGTATCGGCTGAACGCACCCAATATTTGCTTCGTATAAAAATTCTACAACTTGATGTTACAAAATGAGGGTGCAGGTCCATTCAGTAGACATCAAGGAATATCATACCGTCTGTAGAATTAGGCTGAGACTCCAAACAAAAAAGTTAAACGAAAAGTACGATAATGTACATACGTACAAAGAAACATTGGTCGTGTTCAGCAGACCCAAGCCGCTCAGTACCAGTCGAACATGATTGGCTCTTTACTTTTAGAACCAATCAATCAACGCGGAGTGTTGATAAGACGAACTCAACAGTTATATCTGCTGAACGCGGCCATTGTTTCTTTTTATGCGCGCACGTTGCAAAACTCATCGAAATAATTTAATGCTAATGCTAAGACTCCATAGACGCGGAAACGCCATGCGGCAGAGTGCGTTGACCAATCACAAATTTTGATTTTGCCGCAGGCGACTTGCGGCAGCCTTCTGATTGGTCAACGCACTCTACCGCACGACGTTTCCGCGTCTATGGAGTCTTAAATGTTAACGCTGCGAGTCTTCTCGTTCACGTACCGTACGCGAGTTGCGGTACTGGATTCAAGATGGCACTGAAAATCACAGCCACAAAATGTATCGAGTTTGCGGCGCGCGCTTCTGTTTCCATCCTATAGTTCTCGCTGAGTAGTGACAGACATGACAGTGCTTTCTGTACTCCAATTGGAGAGAGCGGCATGAGAGCGTGAGTTCCGTTCCGTCTGCACTCCGCTTCCGCCTGCCAATTGATTATCTGTAATATACTGTATATACGGTGATCGAATTATCAAAGGTCTCGCCGTTGCGTGATCATCAGTGTCGGATTTGATAACGCAAACACGTGAAGGGAACCAGCAACCATGGTGCAACAATACCAGTCGCCCGTGCGAGTTTACAAGCATCCTTTCGCTCTCGTCATGATGGTGTGTTTCAATACTATATGCAGCCTTCAAACTTGGCCGTCATAAAATATTTATTGCATTTCGTGCCTCCTATGTCCTTCGCGGGGCACATATGCCATATCCCAGAAAATCCAATAAACGACTCCTCGTTACGAAACACTTGTATCGAACCAGATGAAAACAAGCAGCTATCTTTTTTAAATGTCCTCTTTTCCTTTTTTTTTCCCACAAGCTTTTTAAATATTTTTTTTAACCAGTATGTAATTTTTCTTCCTTAATCTTTTGGCTCGCGAGACGTATTCGAGCTATATATTCGGTAAACATAAGTGTTACGACACGATGCACTGAGATATTTGAAACAAAGAGATAATTGAAGTGTCATTCTTTTACAGGCGTACGAGCGTAGGTTTCCAACGTGTCCACAGATACCAGTTTTTATCGGATGTGAAGTTATGTTGGACGAAGAGAGTGAGGATGGTGCTGTTAGAACCACGGAAAGGCGATGTAAATTGAATGTTGAGGCACCCTATATCTTGAAAAAGGTTCGTTTACATGTATATGTAAAAGACATTCAAGTTCTTTTATACTTATCTATTCCTTCTTTTACTACAAAAATCCATGCTATCAATAATTAAGTGTCACGGTAGATTTGAAACAGCCTGTATTTCGGATACTAGATTTTATAGTTCTTTTTTTAGGAAACAATAGCTGCAAAAAATCTTTCTTAGATTTTACTACTAACAATTTTGGATAAATTTAGTATAAATCCCATATTCATTAATTAGTAATTAATTTCAGATAATTGGTGTGGATTTTGTATACTTTATTCAAAGGAATGTTTTAAATAGGCGCAATAGTGTTTTAGAAATAGAAGCGTACAACGAAAGCTTTGCCACTAGAGTAACTGTTATCGAAAAATGTAAATATTTCGTAAGTATTACATATAATTATTTATTATATAAAAAAGATATTTTATGTGATATATTTTTATAAACTTTTACTTTATGTTAGGAGTATGATATCTAGAATATTTTCTAATTATATATATATTAATTGCACATTTAGATTCATCCTGAAAATCCAGAATGGACTTGCTTTGAACAAACAGCAAGTTTAGATATTAAAAACTTTTTCGGTTTTGAAAACTCAATGGAAAAATTAGCAATGAAGCAATATGCACAAAATATTGCTAAGGTAATAACAATATATTATTAGAACAACAAATATGATAGTTATATTAAAATGATAATACATGTTACAATGTTTTTTATTTCATAAAATGTAATCACATCATGTTTAATTACAGGGTAAGGAAATTATCGAATATTTCGTAAACCAATTGAAAGAAGACGGCATTACCTATGTTGCTCCTTGGGAAGATCCACGGGAAAGATCTTCTGAAGAAGAAAAGTAAGTATGGTACATTTAATTCAATTATATACAATACATTAGAGTGTCTGGCTGAACATCTTAATTGCATAAATTTCACGTTGCTTGTAAGGGAACATCACGATGGACGAGCATTTCGGACATCAAGAGCACATATACACACACACACGCGTATAGAAGTCATTGTTTCTGTAAAATAATATTTAAAATCTTAATTGTAACATCTTACAATTTTAATTTCCAGCAGTAAACATTTAACACATTTTACCTAAATTCATACTAACAATTTATATTGAGCAATGTTTTCGGTCTGCAATGGTTACTTTTTTTATGTAGGAAAAATGTGGACGAAAATAGTGACAAAGAATTATGTATTACCGACAGCAAACTGCCCAGCAACAGAGGTAATATTATCTTCTTTAATATATATATTGGTTTGATAAATATAATAGTGTCATTTAACAAATGACTTTATTTTCGTTTCCTTTAATTACAGAGATGCAACTGTCGTCGGATTATATAGAGAGATACTTAGGAAAACTAGATATGATACAGGAAAGCAAATTAGTGCAGCTTAGACATAGCATTGAAGAATTGAGGGGTAGTTCTGTACCGGGTTATGCAACGCTTCTACGGTTCCTACGGGCTACGGAATTCTCAGTCGAAAAAGCCAGAGAAATGTTAACGCAATCTTTACATTGGAGGAAGAAGCATCAGATCGATAAACTTCTTGACGAATACGAAATGCCACAAGTAATTAAAGATTACTTCCCTGGCGGCTGGCATCACTTTGATAAAGGTAATCAGTCGATAATAAATTTGCTGCAAATGTCACGCTATCCTAAGTTATGCTATGAAAAATAATGAGTCAACATAGATTCTATTTATATATTCGATCTTTGATGTAGACGGACGACCTTTATATATCTTACGGTTGGGTCAGATGGATGTTAAAGGTCTACTTAAATCGATTGGAGAAGATGAATTGTTATTACTAGTAAGTTAGGTTTATTTTAAAATATTTTAAAATCGAAAAGTTTTTGATATGATTTAATATTTTACTTTTTTTTACAGGCTTTACATATCTGTGAAGAAGGTCTGCACTTGATGGAAGAAGCTACTAATGTTTGGGATCATCCAGTCTCCCAATGGACACTGTTGATAGATTTAGAAGGTTTAAATATGCGGCATCTATGGAGACCAGGAATAAAAGTATGATCGTCTTAAGTGAAATAAATTACTTATAATTAATTTCTCAATATAGTGTTATAACTTATTATATCGCGAGGTCTAATAATTCGTATTTGCTTAATTTGCTTCAGGCATTATTGCGAATAATAGAAATAGTTGAAGCAAATTATCCAGAAACAATGGGAAGAGTTCTAATCATGCGTGCCCCTAGATGTTTCCCTATTTTGTGGACACTTATCAGCACTTTTATCAGTAAGAATTTTAACAATTGCTTTAATTGTATAAAATAACACTTTTCTAATCGTGTTATGTATTAAAATTGCAGACGAAAATACTAGGAAGAAGTTTATTTTTTATTGTGGTACAGACTACCATGAACAAGGATCTGGAGGTCTTAGCGAATACATTAATCAAGAATTTATTCCTGATTTCCTTGGTGGTTCCTCAGAGGTGAGATTTAGTAACATTAATAACAATTAAATATTGTATAAATGTCACACTTATTAACATGAATATTTAATACACAATTACATATTTATGACATTTTATATCAGTATATTATATAAGAATACATAGGTTACATATAATATATTTTTTTTATATATTAATAATTTATTTTATCCATTTTTTCTTGAATGAATATAATGTATATTATGACGATCATGAATGCCAAAGTGTTTTTTTATACGTTTCTACTTTTTAATAATTGATGATTATTGAATATTTTATGACCTAAAAAATTTTCTTTTTTTGGAAAAAAGTGTCATTTTTTTTTATTTACATTGGAGTAATATATTTTTTGTACACGTGTTGAATACTAGGAAATGAATATATGCGAAGTCTATAATATGGTACCTCGGAGATTTTACATTTTCGACGCAACTGCGACCAGTGTAAGAAAACGATACAAAATTCATGTTAAATATGTTGTAGAAGTTTTTTTCTGCCGCTAACTGGCTTTAGTGGAAAAAATGTGACGTTTTTATAGTTATTAAAAATGCACATTGTATATCATACATATATATTAGAAATACCAAAGAAAATTGTCACGTGTAACATCAGCAGTTGCTAGATACATAGGCATTGTCTGTGTGTCGTGTTCGTATGTCCTTATCTCTGTGATATATCATCCATATCTGAGGCAAAACCATTTTATACAAATCATCTGTTATAAATTTTTATTCATTTATAAAATACAGGAATTTTATCGATAGTCTACGTTGAAACATTATTTATGTGTATTGTGAAATATGAATACATAGTTTTGATACAATCAAGATCATGTACACTTATGTAACGCACACAAGTTCAAGCACTAATTCAAAAATATAGATTAACACTGCGCGCACAAAAAGTGAAGTAATTTTGTGTGCTCTCGCTAGTTAAATTTCAGAGTATTTTACACAAGTTAAGCTTAAAAACATCTATCGTAAATGACGTATTAAATTACATACTTAGACTTGGAACAATTCACACAATCCATTAAATATCTGAAATTTGATCAGCTCTATTTTAATTCTCGTAAAATCTTATTTAAATATTTTCAAGATTATATAAGCAACCTAAATAAGTATAATTAAGTATACATCGAAAACGTTTTTATTTTTATTATAAATATCAGACGTACGTGATGGAAGGTGGGGTAGTGCCGAAAAACTTGTACAGAGTGGATTTGGAGGGTACCTCTGGTGAACACGAGCACAGTCTGTATCACTCCATCAGCTTGAGCCGTGGTCAAACTCATCATGTGTTCATAGAATCCGATGATCCGGGTGCTGTTCTGACATGGGATTTCGATGTAATGCGGCACAATGTCATATTTACAGTGCTTCACAAATCTCGAAACAGTGGAAACGGTGTTATCTCAGGTACACTTTAATATTAGAAACAGATTTGTCATGAAATGTACGTAACATTTTTTTACAATTCGGAGTAGCAATATAATATACAATGATTATTTTACAGAACTTCCAGAGCTTGCAATAGGCGGTGATCATGAAATTGTTGCTGCAAAAGAATTAAAAGATAATTATATTAAAGTCGAACACAATATAATTTGTCACGATGGTGAAAGCATCCAAGTACGTACTCACATAATTTTATGTATTGATGTCGGATGAAGTCATTGGATATATATATCATATACTCAGTCACAAGTATGAATGAATGAGGCACAAAAATAGATATATAAAAGTATATTTCCAGTATAATTTGATTAATTCTATTGTACTGAATGAGATTCAAATTATAATTTATTGTTTCCTTTGTGTTAAGGAATTTGCAAACAAATATATTTATGGCAATAAATACATGTTTTTTCGCGTAATTTGTCCAGATATTTTTGTGAATAATTATATGTAGTTATTTCATACATGCGGATAGTGTACAATTACATACGAAATTATTAATTCTTTTTGCATTATAGGGGACTCATATCATGCAGGATACAGGTACTTACGTGTTACAATGGCAAAATCAAGAAGATCAAGCCGAATTTCTTCCATCTATTAGTTCTCATAAGGCTCAACTTATGTACTTTTATGAAACATTACCATCTGCACATTACAGGTATTTATGTAACGTACATACAGTGCATATTTTTCAATTTTACGTAGAATAATCTTATAATGATATTTTCATTGGCTTCCTTTAGAGGTTCAATGATGAGCTTGCAGTCAGCAAGTGGAAGGTCAGAGGCTAGTTCATCTTTATCCAGATGAAAAGCGATGAGTATGAACGACGACTTGCAGGAGACATGAAATTTCATTTCGTTCATAATATTTTAACAATATGTGTTATGAAAACACAAATCTCATTTATGTTTTAACGGGGCTAAAATACAATTCATATTTTAGTCTAATATTTTAATTTTGTTGACGCGATAGAGAGCATCTACACATCAACAATCCAAATAATGCTCCAAATCTTAAGCCTAAAGTACTCATCTCGGCAACTACATAACCAATGTTATCATGTTATGTACATATACATATATACATATATATATATAGCTGTTAAACAATAATACAATATATAATAATGTTGTCTAATATTTAAACTTTATTTTTTCATATAAAGATAAGTTAGATGAAATTTAATACTCAGAATAAAGTCATGTACATTTTATAGATCATATTGCAATATAAGCAGTAGACACCTCACTGCAAGAGCACATTATAGTTTCCCGAAGTGAACGGTAATCCAAATTGTGCAAGTGAATTGTGATTTAATATTAATTTATATACATATATTTACATAAAGAACACGGGTAATGCGCGCGTGCGTGGAAAACAAACGTTCTTCCCTCATAAACATTACATTTTACTAAAATTTCATCTTAAAGGAAGATGCATAAACAAACTAATTTTTATAGTATATAGTAGTTTTATATATTATAGTGAAACTCCATATCCATTCCATTCCATTCCATTCCATTGCTGAATGATATAACACATTATACTACATTTAGATCATTTCTTACATACTTCCACAAAACACACTATACAGGAAGAATAATAACTATAGAATTATAGAATCACAAGTTCTATAATTAGAGAATCAATAAAAAAATATAGTTTAAAATATGTAAATAAATATAAATTTATTATTGGTCTTATTTAAATTAAGTTAAACATTATGGTAACTATAGTTTCAATCGAGCTACCTAAAAATTAATAAGAACATGTAATATATTTAATAATTTATTATGTGTGCCAAAACAAATGAGAACTATGAAAAATATTTTCAGTACAAGTGGGACGAATCTTACCATAAATGAAAGGGAAAGAAAAATAATTTTGAGATGTAACAATATAACTATATATATTGTAGAATATATATATAATTTATCATTTATTTACTAAATGAATATTTTGGCAACAGGATATGTTATTGTTAATTTTCTGGTAGCCTACAAGAGTCCATCAATTTTAGATATAACATTATAAAGTTTCTAATGGCAACAATTATGTAAACTAATAAAGATTAATTAATTCTAAGATGCAGGATACTCGAAATATTATATAAATATTATATAAATAATTATAGTCAATTACAGTGCATAATATAAAACAACGTTAAAAATGCTCATACTTTCAATGGAATATTGTACGCCGAGAGAAAGCTTTCATATAAGAAATTAATCATCAAGACATAATTTGTGAGAACATAAACTCTACTTATCAATTATCAATTAATTATATCAATGAATAGAAACATCTTCTTATCTTAATAAATTTCGTCTTGATGATTACTGATTGTAATAAACAGTTCAAATGAGGAAACAACTATTTTTCAAGTATAGATTTTTAGAATGAACACAGAACAAACGTGTTTCTACAATTAGGATAGGATAGTATCGCGAAATGAAATTGTATGGCCGGCCAATGTTTGTTTAATAGTTAGATAAAAATATTACATTTATCAGTCATCACTAGGATACAATTAGCTATTTTAAAATATAGTTATATAACTAGCATACCGAAAATGTGTAACAGATTATTATATTACGTGAAGAAGTAAAATGCGTATAAATATTAATGCATTTATCGTTTGAATAATAGAAAGAAGAAATTTGTAGAATTAATTACTATCCCATAGTATGCAATTTGCTTCTTTGCGACTAGAAACAGAAACAGAAGTGTAGCAATTAAGAAATTACGATATTGTCTCAAAGTAATAGGAAAATTATGTATATATCACTGATTTGAAGTGTCATGTAATGTAGCGACATAACTAGTAGTATCGTTTTTTTTCTATAGTCATCACATAAAACGTTGGCAATAAAGTTCTAACGGATATATTCAAGGATTATTATTGAGCATTAAAAAACCTGCTTTCAAATTTTAATATTTATAAGCCGTAAATAAATGTGATACATCTTGGAGAATCTTCCCAGATTAGGATAAATAAAATAACACTCAGAATAGTTCTAACAATTTCTTTTTGGTTTTTTTTATAACACTTCTATAATTCATACGGAATCTGTGAGGAGTATATATGCTCGCAACCATTTATGCATCCATTGTATACAGAGTAACATATGTATGAAATATTTCGACATTACTAGACTAGGATATACATATACACATGTAGTATATATTCCCAGAGCTATATATCCTTACATATGTCATATGCAGGAACTCTCTTATACTTTTCAATCCATCTTAAGAAGAGATAAAATATAAAATTATTAAATGTTATTAAATACATAAAAAATTCGCTCTTTGCATAAAAACAAAGAGGCGAAGTATAAAAATTGTACAAAAATCGTATTTCTATTTACGTACTTTTCTTGCAATTACGTCGTTTTGCAATATGACTATTTGTTTAAAAATATTAAAAATGCAATACAACAGGCTATGTATATAAATAGATATATTCATTTGTGATTCAAAAAGTCTTTGTTTGGAATTTTTCTCGATATATTTTCCATATCTAATACGATCCTGAATAACTGAAATACTTGGAAATGTAAACAATGTGTACATAATTATATTATTATAATAAATATATATTATTATAATAAATTATACCTTTCTCTCATTTTCAATTAAAATAAAAAACCCATAAAAATATATAGCTCAATTTCTTTTCATGAAATTTTATATTCATAATATCTCTATATAAACAGTATGTTAAATATAAGATATGTAGAAACACCTTACAAATTTAGTTTCTAATTGATAGATTAGTAATATATCCAATAATGTGATGTTACATAAAAATGTAAATATTAGGCAAATAGTTTGGAATGTTTTTTTTTTTTTTCATTTGTTACATCTCCAATTTATTTTAGGCATGTTGAAATTATATGCATATTAACTCTTATGTGAGTAACCGGGTACTCGGGGAGTAAAAAACTCGATTTAGGAGTTCTCACAAAGTTTTAGCCCTTTAATGCGACTAGAATGTAAAAGAATTTTAGTTTGTTTATGTTGTTAAAACGCAAAAGGTACCTGGTACCTCGTCACTCACATAAGGGTTAAAAAAGATAGATTAATGTATCACAATAATTTGAAAATATAAGTGTATCAAAATAATTGACAATTATGTGTAAATTGTACTTTTAAAAATATCATATTTTAAAGAAAATAACTCATACAGAATAATATAAATATTTGTGAATGGAAGCCTTGAAATTTCCCAATATCTTTTCTCACAAATATCAATTCTGCTTTCGCTGGAATTGAACTTTGAGTATATCAAATAAAGTGTATAAAAAATTGATATTATGGCTATTACGTATGTTTTTACTAAAGTCATAAAGTGATTATATTTCCAATTAAATAGAGAAGATGTCACCTTCGATCGAGCTAGAACTTGGTAGTCTAATAATAATATTTCTATGTGAATTTTGTATACTGTTTTCTAACTTAGCCGATTATTTGTCGATTATTTGTACATGCCTCAGTGATCGAATTGGTAAAGACAATCGTCGTGGATTGGAACAAAATCCAGGTTCGAACCCTGGCTAGAGTAATATTTTTCGCAATAATGTCTTTACAGTGATTTAAAAGGTACTTACTAACAATCAAATGTCAAATTGATTTATTGATATAAATATGTGGATTTACTATTCCAATAAAAACCTGTGTTTCAACACCGACAAATAATTGGCGCGCAGTTTGCTAAGTTGGAAAAAGTATACAAAATTCGCACAAATATTATAATTAAGTTACCAAGCTCCAGCCCGACGAAAGATGGCATCTTCTCTATTTAATTGTAAGATTCATATCGGTCCAATTTCACTTATCATTGTTGATTATATTTAGATTTGATAACTGCGAAATGCATCAAGAAAGATACGTGTAATATAAATTCTTGGCAGGATTCTTAATGGAGAAAAAATATCATTATATTCGAAGATATAACTTAATGCAACATTATTGTACTTTGGCATTTCTCTTTTTAAACTTCTTTACAAAGATATTAATAGTATCAAGTTAGCGTAACAACTGTTTGTCTCAGCTTTAAAGTAAACAGAGAAATCTAAACCTTTTTCAGTCACATGATTTAACGTCGTCTTATATATTCTGAACTAACTTCTACGTATTAATTAATAGAGGTTGCTAATACCTACTGTAATATTTGGCAGAAAAATACAACGGATACGCAAACCTCGTCAGAGTATAATATGAAATAAATATCTGTCAATAAAAATCTCTTTTGGCATTATTTTTAAGTACTAGTAACACCTTTACGGGCTACTAAAAGATTTAATACTGGATGCTTTCTTATATAAGAAACCGCCTTCTTGTGAGTCACCATCGTAAAGTCATATCCATTACATTGTAAAATTTTGTCGTGCATCCTAAGACCACTTTTCGCAGCTGGCGATCCGTCGTGTACCTCCGTTACATATATCCCCTGGAAAAAGAGATTCATGTCTATGAACTTTTTTATGTTATATTAAAATTGTATAGATTATACGTATAAGAACGATATGTTTTAAAGCCTAATACGATATCTTACGTTGTCTGTATAACCCTGTGGACTTTTTGTAAAATCCTGATCAATGCCACCACCGATTTTAAATCCGCATTTCATCACCTCCTCGCCATTTTCATTGATCTCTGTCTCTTTGTGTAATGTAATTGGTATCTATAGCAAATCAATAAATATATATATATATACATATATATATGTATAACATACATAATGCAGTATGACGCACAAATACAAATGTAAAAAGGACTTGTTATAAATTCTGCAGTAATCTTTTCTGCAGTGCTCCGTTCCTCTTAAAGCACAGTATTTCAAAGAACATGCAACAAGGAAATACAACATAGACCGAGTTCTACTCATAGATTTTTTGTTTTGTTTGTTAATTCACAGATTTCTGTTATTATTGCGACACAAACCCTTCACTACCGTGAATATTTATTATCATCATATTAATATCGACTATTTAATTTCTAATATAATATTTATTAATATTTATTAATACCGTATAAATATGAGCAAAAATTCTAAAACGTACTATTGCGAGATACAAATGAAAGGGGCAACCCGGTATGTTCTAGCGGTAAAGTAAAGGGCGTGTATCGTGGACAACAATAAGTACACGACAGATTCGAAAGATACATACGCTTAGGCACTCCATCGCGGTACCCGGCTGATGCTGAAAGGCCATTTTCGCGCACATAATCAAGCGACTCGGGCTCTGCCACGCGTTCTTTTCTTTTTTAACAAATTCCCTCGGTGACTCTGACTCACGTGCGCGACTGACTGATCGCGATCGCACACGGCCAATAACAAATTCTACCGCGCGCTCCTCGGCGACGTGCGCTGCGTAAACGAACGTGCGACGTGCGATCTGAACGAGCGAGAAACTTGGCTCCCGGGTATTCGCCGCTGATGAATCAGGCAGAATCAGGTAAACTCTGTTGGAGCGGCAAGAAGACCTCTTGTCAATCCCGGATCGGAGCGCGAACAGATGATCGCTGAGCGGAGCGAAACTCAACAGCCGTGCGCGATTGCGCGGTGCGTTCCGAAACTCATCGAGAAGGAAGTGTCTAACCTCGCCGCGAGTGTATCAGATTTTTGTGTAATTTGTTTATTCGTCGAATAAAAAGTATCTTGCGAAACGAAAAGAGTACGATGTCTCTTTAATTATCTGACAGATCCATCATTTGTTCCACGTTCGATTTAGCATGATATAAGCGTCTTTTTCCCAAATGAAATAGTAAGCACTTTTAGGTTAGGTGCAACTACCATGCACTTTTTCTTTACATAATAATGGTCATAAGATTGACACCAAGTTCTTAAATGTAAAACGGCAATTGTTTATGTATAATTAATGAAGTGTTTTTAACGAAAAAAAAAGGAATATTTTTAATGGATGAAAAAAAATTACATTTAGTTGTTTAATACTCAGTAGCGAGAAAGCGTTAAAATATTTTATAATAATGTTTAGTTTATATAGAATTTTTCCTGATTAGAGCAAAAAGTAAAACACAAGTGTATAAAATGGTTTGGAAGAAAAGAAAAAGATGAAAGAGTGATACCACTTTGTCTAAATAGGAACAGGCAGTGGAAAGATACAGGGCTGTTTGGAAAACACTGCCAGTTTTCGCAAACGTTGAGAGGATGCTGAAGCACAATATCTTAAAGACATCATGGTGTAAATTGCGCACGCGATATATGCATAAAAATGCCTCTCTCTCAGAGGCCTCTAAAAGTAAAGAGTGTGCAATTTCAAGGATACGTAACATCGGCATTCTGGCGCATATTGACGCTGGTTAGTATTTCTGTTTGATTCATCTGATTGATACCTTTGGATACAAATCTGTACTTTAGAGGTAAAGAATCGTACCTCCAGTTTTTGTCAAAATGGAGTTAATACATTTTTCAATATAGCAGGTGCTTAAATTGTATTGTATAGTGTAAAGCGTCTTATATCTATTATTACTAGTTCTCCTAAAGTACAATGTTTAGACAAAGTTGTATTGAAAATTTTTATAATGCCTAATTTTTAAAGGTAATGCGTGTTATTGGCAGTTGTACCATTAAACGTGCCAGTTAAATTACTTTATTAAAATCTTATAATAAATCAAGGCGCTATTTTTATTTTATATCTAAAAATATATATATAATTTCCCCATTTAAAACTTTAAACCTTGTTTTCTCTGAATTCATAATAATGGAGATGCGATTCTTTACCTCTTAGATACAGAAATATATTTTTATACACTACCAGATAGCAGAGGGGTCCAAGTTTGAGCAATAAGTCCTTTGCAGTTCTAAAGACCTTGATGGAAAAATGTTTCAGAATTTTTCATATTAATCAGAATTTCTATAAAAATTTTCAGACTTTCTCAGAATGTCAGGATTTTTCAGATTTTTTAATACAAAATTGAAACGTTTTTTTAGAAAAACAGACAAAATAATAATAAAATATTTCAAATGTTTCCCACCAATATATTTTCATAAAAATCTGAATAAATGAGAAAATCCACGCAATTTATCAGAAATTTTCATACATATAGATACTGAAATATTCTGAAAATTCTCATCCAATTATTACTGAAAGTATCTGAAAAATTTGACATATTTTTTCAGAATTTTTCATAAATCTAAAACATGAGAAATTCTTAAAAAATTAAAAAAAAGAGTAATTTTTTCACCAGGGGATGCTTATTAGCATCATTGTTATTAAATTGATTATCAATTTATGTGATTGTACTATTCCAGCTTGAGACTGAAGGCTACGGTCAATGTGACGCTACAAATGCTTCGAAGTATTCCTCTTCTCTTTTCTTTCAATGAAGAAAGAAAGAGAAGAAGAACGCTCCAAAGCATTTGTAGCGTCACGTTGACCGTAGCCTTGAGTTTCAAGACTGATATTACTCGGCGCGTAGTTGTTGAGCTGAAAAATGTATACAAATTCACGCAAAAATATTATTAGGTACAGAGATCCAGTCTGACACCGTACTTAAATGTATTTTTCTTCAGGAAAAACGACCACAACTGAGAGGATGTTATACTATTCGGGTCTCATCAGAAATATGGGCGAGGTTCATCACGGCAACACAGTGACCGATTACATGGAGCAGGAGCGTCAGCGCGGGATAACGATCACCTCGGCTGCCGTTACGTTCAATTGGAAGGACTATCGCTTCAATTTAATAGATACTCCTGGTCATATCGACTTTACCATGGAAGTCGAGCAGACTTTGCAGATATTAGACGGCGCGATTGTGGTCCTGGACGGTTCCGCCGGCGTGGAGGCCCAGACGCTAACAGTTTCCAGACAAGCGGACAGATATAATATCCCCCGGATAATCTATGTTAACAAAATGGACAGAGCGGACGCTGACTTTGATATGAGTTTACGGTCTGTCGAATCTAAATTAAACGTAGAAACATTACCTATACAGATCCCCGTGTTGAATGCAGGAGTCTTAGAAGGTATCGTAGATGTGATAACCATGGAAAAGTTAACATTCGATAAGAAACATCAAGGTATGAATTTAATAAAGGCAAAAATATTTGAAAGCGACGACGGAAGACTATGGGACGTTGCCAGTGAGAAGCGACGACTGTTGACCGACAAGCTGTCAAGCTTAGACGACAAACTGGCTGACATTATTATAGAGCAAGAGTCTCTGGATAATGTGCAGCCACAAATGTTGGTCGATTCCTTACGCAGAGTCACTATAGGTAGGAAAGGTGTGCCCGTAACGTTGGGAAGTTCCTATAAGAACATCGGAGTGCAGCCTTTAATGGACAGCGTCATTCTCTATCTGCCGTCGCCGACAAATTTAGATCAACTGAATCCGTATCGATATTTCGCAAACAATCTGGCAGCCAGAGTCTTCAAGATTGTTCACGATAAGCAGAGAGGACCAATCACATTTTTCAGAATCTATTCCGGTAACATGAAGAAGGGTCAGAAGCTGTACAATGTGACGCGCGAGCAAAGCGAGCAGTGTACTCGCCTGTACGTCGCTTGCGCCGACGATTATAAGGAAATGGCCGAAGTCAGTTACGGCAATATCGCTGCTGTAAGTGGGCTGAAGAGTACTATCACGGGCGACTTGGTGACGGCGAGCGCATCTGTAGCCAACCGCGCTAAACAGTCCATGCTGGAGGAGAATCCGAACCGGCTGGACTACGTGGACAATTTCTTTGCATCCGGAGTGAAATTGCTCGATCCCGTTTTCTTCTGTTCTATAGAACCGCCCTCTCTCTCAGCGCAGTCCGCCCTGGAGACCGCTCTTCAGGAACTGCAGAGGGAGGATCCTAGCTTGCACGTGAAGAACGATCTAGAGACGGAACAGATCGTTCTCGGCGGGATGGGAGAGCTGCACATAGATATCATTAAGCAAAGAATTAGGACTGAATATAAGATCGACGTGGATCTAGGTCCCTTGCAAATCGCTTATAAGGAAACGATTCAAGATCCCGTCAAAGATACGCTATCCGTGGAGCACAGGGTGGGCCAAACGACGCACAAAGTTACCATCACTATGTCCTTAATACCTAATTACGAGGGCAAGACGAAACTGCTTCTGGACAGGTCTTCAGAAACTGCTTCGAATATCGACAGTATTCACCCGCGGGTGATGAGCGCGATTAAAAACGGCGTGAACGCCGCATTGTTACACGGTCTGAAATTAAGTTGTCCGGTGATTAATGTTGGCGTCAAACTCCACTGGCTGGAGGTAGCGCGCGGTACCTCGGATACCATTGTTTCTGCTGCTGCCTTGCAATGCATTCGAAAGGTAGGTATGTATACATTTTAAATAAATTCTATTAGTTAAAATAATATTTGATATTTACAATTCTGATTATTGCGAATTCATTATATCATATTTACCATAAATACAGAAATTATTTTTGGCTGTTTATTAGAAAACAGTAAAATACTGATTTCAATGTTCAATACGGTATTTAAATGGCTATGTTTCACATGTGCACAGTTACTTCAAGAAGGAAATAGCGTGTTGCTGGAGCCTATGATGCAACTGGAAATCGTTGCACCAGAGGAATATTCACCGAAAATCAATGCTGATCTTACTCGTAGACGAGCGGTAGTACAACAAATTGATATGCGTGGCAATAATAAGGTGAATAAATTATGTTTTCTTATTTCTAATAAATTGTAACTATTTTACCGTTTGATGAATTACGATAGATTTGCGTTTAATTTCATAGGTGATCCGAACTCTCGCGCCATTATCGGAATTATTGGGATATTCAACAGCGCTGAGAATCATCACATCGGGCAACGCGACGTTCTCATTGGAATTTAGTCACTATCAATTAATGACCCCTATCAACGAAGAAGAAGCTATCGAAAAAATTAGAGGATTCTGAAATGAATAGTACGAACAAAGAGATAATATTACCGAAAGTACAATTTCACTTCGTTTTATTGACTCAATCTAATCAAAATATATTGCAACATTATCATTGGTGCGTTACAATCTCCATATACAATTCTCAATTGCGACCACCAAGTATGATACGGAAAGCTCTTGGTAATCAGCCGGAGCAGAAAAAATTGCTAACGGGTTCAATCAGAAAATCATTACAGCTTCCACGCATCATAACTAGCAGTCGCGCATAAATATATTAATATTGCTTAAGATCATGCAAAAATGTCATACGTCGTAAAATATATATATATATTATATCGTATGGAGGGATTAAATGTTATAATGTCGCGTGAGACTGGAAAAACGACAGCCGCGTATAAAAATTTATGCCAAATGCGGATAGCACGAAAGCGAGATTTTCTTTTTAACGTCGCAAAGAAAATGTTGGATAAAATTGAGGAATTCTCGCATTCGTGTAATTTTATTTATTCGCCCATATTTAATATTATAATATTAAATATTTGAATTATGCAAACGGTTCTTGATTAATCTTAGCGCAATTCAAAGAGCTCTTAAGACTTAGCGTACCTAATGTACTTAGAAGTTTGAGCTTAATCTTGTTTTGTCTTAAAATTTTTATTTTTACAATATAGAATAGAATTATAGTATAAAATTCCACTTGTCTCATTGGATCGCTTACAAAATGACGAAATCTTACATTCATTATTCCTAATTCGTTATTTTAAACGTTAAATATACTTATATCACTGTGCAGACATTATTGCTCATATCTGCGACAATTTCTTTTAAGGCGCAAACAGCTGTCGCTTTTCCTCTTCAAACATATCTCTCCTTCTCTTGCGATTTATATTTGTAACAAGAACATTATTCATTTATATGTACAAAGTTACAATTTCAGATTGACAAGATTCATCTATAAATAGGAAAATACTGAGAATCAAATACGTATTCGCAGACCATCAAAATCTAAATACAATTCATCTTTTCTACGTGTAGCACGCGTTGAAACTTTGAAAGAGAGATACGCTTGAAGAGGAAAAAGCGCCAGCTGTTAATAAGCAAAATCGCGTGAAAGAGCTTTTAAGAACGATTGAAAATTTCGTTGTAAAGAGCACGCGCATAATACTTCTGCTCCCGCTTGTAGAAATTCTTCGCGTCATGGTACTCCCGTTCTCATTCGGGATCGTTCTCCTCGTTGGACCCGTGCTCCACCGTGTCATCGTGGCGTCATAAACTCACGAGCTTCGGGGGATTCGCATCCGGGGAGCTGAGATCCACGGCGGAAAGATTGCTTCTCTGTTGCGTCGAGCACGACGGTATCAGGGGCGTCGAGACCGGCGTGAGACCGGTACCGCCTTCCATTAGAGACTCAAAATTAAACGGTATGCCGCTGGTCGGAGTGGTGATCGGCATACCGGCCACATCCATCGACGGCTTCATAAAGGACGGTGTCTCCACCGTCTTGAAAGCGAGGGTGTCCGGTCTCCCTTTCGGTTCCGCGAACATCGTCAGGGAATTCAGTCTATTATTGTTGTCCAATCCGACCGGCAATGAATTAGGTCTATTCGGTCTCGTTGCCGCGGCCACCGTTGTGTCGTCCTTCACAGGTTCGGCGGCATATTGATCCTCGACCGCAAGATCGGTCTTTATCACGGGTTTTATGTCCAGCGGGGACGAGGGGCGTAGGGAACGGCGACAGACCGCTCTGTGAGCATCCAAAATAAATTCCAACTCATCTCTGGCGTGTTTCAGGCTCTCGATCTCGTCCTGCAAGTGCTGTTTCTTTTGTTCCAAGCCCTCGGTTTCCTACAAAAAAACAATTAATGTCATATAGTAATGTATTCTTTTCTTTGCGATGACGCAGTCGTGACTTTTCAAAGATTGGAGATCTATAATTTGTGAAGCTACCTCTACGAACGAGACTGAGATTTTTATTCATTAAATCATATGCGATATATAATGCTAATTCTAGTAAGCCACGCAATATTGTATCTACAATTCGCGCACTTACTTCGAGTAGGGCATTGGTGTGATCCATTCTTCGCTTGCGGCATCTCGCCGCTGCCATCTTGTTCCTTTCGCGCCGGATCTGTCGCCTCTCTTCCTCCTCGGGGCTCATCCCGATCGTTCTGGTGGGCCGCCTGCCACCCATATTGCGTCTAACTGGTTGCTGCTGCTGCTGTTGTTGTTGCTGCGGCTGTGTTTGCTGCTGCTGGGTCTCGATGAGGGTGGTCGTCGGCGCCGGAAGATGTATCGCCGTTGTGTTTTGCGTCTGTGCCGGAGTCGGCTGCGACGGTTCGACCAGCGGCGGCACGAAGCCGGCCTCGCGGCTGTGCGACGCCGACTCGCTCGTCAGCTCCAGGAACGTCTGCTCGATGCTGCGGAGGGTGGTCGGCGTCAGCGTCGGCGTCGTCCTGGTCGGCACTCCGCTGTGCAATCCGTCCAGAGATACCAGCTGCAACACAAAGACAATGGACCGTGTTAGTTGAAAGCGGTGTCCACAGAATCACTCTTCGAAACGCGCTTATCTCTACAATGTTAAATGAGGAGCAACAAAATCTGAGTTTATATACCAAAGTATCAGTGGCGAGATTAATGAAAAATTGTACGAGCGGCTTGTACGAGTACTAATAAAAGTTAGCCGTTTACTTCTTTCTCTCCGCCGTTCCCAGCTGCGTCTGGAAACGCAGAAAACGACCAACAACTCGACTTCGTGACCGTAAAATTTTCTGCGGCGTGTTCCTTCGCAGGAAAGAAACTGCCGCCAACGTAGGCGCGGTGTGTATATCGCGTTATCTTCGAGTTTCCAAGTCCGATATCAGCCAGGTAATCTCGCCGAGATGGCTCGATAAAAATATCCATGATCCAATAGCCGATAACGTATCGTCGCGCCAGTCAGATAGATAGATCGGTTCGTGAGAGTTACGATTTCGCGCGCGATCGTTGAAATTGCGACGGATCGCATGTCTTACGATTTAATTCGCGAAAATATCCGTGTGTCTCTCTCCCTCGCGTCTCCTCGGCGGCAATTTACAAACGCCGCGCCGGCGCACGTGCGTTATAACGTTATTGCGCAATACTGTAATTCGCGTCGAATTAAAAACGTCGTTTCCATGCGGCAGCGGTGGCTAGACGATGAAAAAGATTCGCGGTCACTCGAAGACGATTTCACCGAGAGAGAGAGAGGGGGGGAGGAGAAGAGGGGGAGAGACGGACTTTACGAGCCCGCCGTTCTCCCTAACTGCGACGGTATTAACGAGCACCTCGAATCGCAGCTCACGTAGCGACAACCTCGCGCGCCATTATCGCGCCGCCAATCGCCAGTCGTCGGGGACGTAATCTATACGCGCTGCGCGTTTCCCAGAAAAACACAAAAGGACGCGAGGAAGGAAAAGAGAAGCCCCACGGCGTCCTTCGCTCTTTCTCGCGCGCGCGCGCGGGAGAGAAGACGTGCCCGCGCGCGCGGCTCTCGCTATCATTTCTAAAATTACGAATCTCCGTTTAACGAAGGCCGCCGCCGCCGGTCGCCGTCGTCTTCGCCTCTCTCGATGAGAGACGTCGAATCGCCGCGCCGCGTTAAACGAGCACGCCGGACTAAAATTTATAACGATATATCTGCAATGAAAGCTCAACCTCAAATTCCAATGTATCTCTTCCATTTTCAGATTTGATTTTAATTGAAGAAAAGCAATTGGCTTAACGTTCCCTATTTTGAAGTATCTAATCTAGTCAAGCAGCACGTGAAACAATAACAATTTTTAATTTGTATTCTGATACCTATAAAACTTTCGTAATCACGTTTTCTCGCGTGTTTCAAACTCGAGGCAAAACCAACCATGATAGTTAGAGAAATATTATTTTGCATATATATTATCGATTGATGTGTGCATCCTCCTTTCGACGAGATCACGCCGCGAGACGAGGGAAATATCGTAGGCACAGGCCGGTCTTTAAGTGTCATCGCTAAAATTACTTAGCGCAGCTCGGGAACGGCTTCGCCGATTTCAGCCGTCGTCGTGTTTGGCCACCCACCGACCATGCTCTCACCCATCGCGCGGGGAACCTCAGGAATGTCCGGAGCGTTAAACTTAGGCGTTACCAAATCGTGTCCGTGCGCGTATAGCGGCGTCACGGTCACTGGAATTCCGATCCTGTGCGAGAAAGTGCCGACGGTGGATCCTAGAAATTTATAGAAATTGCCCGGGGCGATCGATCGATCGAACGATCCTCCGAGATCGCGGTGTCCGTTTCTTTCTCTCGGTATCGGCGACGTTCCATTATTTATTAGAAAAATCATTAGCGCGCTTCGAAACGATATCGCGCCGCGAATTGAAATATTACAATTCAAACGAATGTTTAAGACCGTAGCAAAAAAGTGGAAATTGCAAATCTTATGCGATTACGGTAAATAATATATTGTCCGTGAATTGTAATTTTTTGTTCTTAATCTAACTGCGCAATTTCGTTTTTTAAAGATCAACTTTTATCGGTTCTGCGATCGATAAGATGTAGTATAATAATTTGAATAATTATATACCTTCACGATTTCCGCGTACGATTTATAATTTATGTTCGACGTTGCGAATCTTCGAAGATGTTAATTGTCATGACAAAACCATCTTGTCAATCAAAATCGTCAATCATTTTTTTGATTCGCTAGCCAAGCTTTTTCAGATCTTGATCAATTGCCCCGATCTCCCCGCGGGTCACGATCTTAATTTATTGCGGCATCTTTCGGCGTGGGCACCTTGCGGTTTTGGCACGGCGGAGAATTTACGATCGCAGGAATGGATTCTGTTATGATCGCAATGACCGAGTTATTATCGGAAGTTGAATTTCGAGAATCCTCGAGAGCGAACCTGACTTATCGGGCGCTGTTTGCTTTTCGCTGAAAACGGAAACGGTGAAATGTCACGCAACGAGATCGATAGGTGCGGCGTCGACAAGATAACCGTAAAAGCGTCATCTACAATACACGGAGTAAGCGTGGAGTAAGGAGTAAGAGTAGGCATAAGAGGACTATTTTAAGAGGGTTTAAGAGAGCTGGCGTAAGGGCGTAAGCGAAATAAATTAATTTTATTTCTTACTTTTACTCTTACTCTTACACTTACGCTCGGCCAATCAAGATCCACAGGCTATAACGCTTAATCCCGCCTACTCTTACTCCTTACTCCACGTATCGTAGACCGGCCCTAACTTTTAACGCGACCGGAGAGCAATAGCGGGACAAACTGAGAATCATCTAGTTTTCTACTCGAAATGAAATTTAAGTGAAAAAGAAATTTGTAGAAAAAAAAGGAAAAAATTGATAAAAAGATATTTATCGGCAGGGGAGAAATGGCGGTTTATTTATGACTTATATCGCCGAACTGACGGCTTCCGGCCATTCTCGACGGCCTTCGGGCCGTTCACCTTACTCCGCATTGTTTGTCGCGGGATCACTCAAACATCGCTCGTTCGAACGAGTCATTATATGCGCGTGCATCATACAGCGTCGACAAGTCTTCCCTCGTCCGAACGTGAATCACATTCGCACACCACGCGCGACGACCCCCCCTTTGGCAGCTTTGTTCGAGCGTGTTTCAATACTCCGCGCACTGCACATCACGCGACAAATACTGTATATACCCGAGTAGAGAAAAAAAAGGGTATTTGTGCCTTTTTTATAATATCCAAATACAAAATTTAAAAGGCGCGTCAATAAGGCAAAGGTTCTTCAAACTATTAAATTCACGAATTAAGGACACGAATAAATCTTACGCGGATGATACTTTAATTGATAAAATTTAATTAGAAAGCCATTAGACGTGTTAAAACAAAATGGAAAAAATTACGCCTAATCTAATTCCATCTACAAAGGACTCTGCTTCAAATTGATCGCGAATACCGCAAAAACTTGTTCTACGGCAGCTAATGTAGATCGATGTACGATAACGCTAATATTCGTTATACTAATCAACTAATCTTGCCGCGGGCATATAACGAAGAAAAAAACTCATTTATTCAAATTACGCAGGATTTCGCGAATCGCTAGCTATCCCGCGTTTCAACGGAATTCCCTCCTGCGAGATGGAGCAAAAACGAGCGCGCGCCGCGCGCGACGTCGCGCTTTTTTTTCACAAAGCCGACGGCTGTTGGCAATGTTGGCATGCACACGCGTCTTCCGTTTTGCGATGCGGTTGCTCGCTCGCACGCTCGTTCTCGTCCACACATGTGCAATGCGCACACGTGCGACGACACGACGAACATACACGCACGCACGCACACGTATGCCGGACACGTACGGCGGGCGCGCGCACGCGGTCCGCGATTCTATAAATAAATGTGTGTTCGCTGTTCTTTCTCTCTCTCTAATCTGTCCTGAGCGCGCGTTGCTGAGTCTACGAACAAAGGGCGATATCAGTCACCAGAAATCATTGCGAAACGAGTGTCCAGATAATAGCCGCGGTCGTTCCCGCTCGATTCGTTCCGAAACGCGGCGGGAGAAGCACGGAAAAGCGAGGAGGCGAGTTAGCGAGCGTGTCCACATCGCATCGCATCGTATCGTATCATGTCGTATCATATCGCGTCGCATCACATCACATTGCATCGCCACCGATCGTGTAATTCTACACCGCGGGAAAATAGATCCTCGCCTAGAACGTCGCTTCCAGAGCGAGGACGATAGACTAATTACGCGATCGAACCCATCAGAAAGCACGCTCGTGACCACTCGCAATGCTATCGCGACCGAGATACCGTGCGCTTATACGGCGGTCGAGATATAAATCAACCGAGACGCGATATATAGGTCTTACAACTGCTCGCTTATCAGAATACAAATTTCGGTTGTGGGTGCACTATGTATATATGTATTGTATGTTGAAAATTCAGTATAGATTGATCCTATCATACCGCTATTATATACCTAGTTTTTTGAATATATGAGGACTGAATCTGTTCGAATATCAATTACTATATACTATAATTTGCAGCTGTGCCAACGTCGGATTAATTGGCGATATTTGTTGGAAACGTCGCAATGTGCAGATTAATAACCTTCGCGTGCATAAATCTAATAATGGTTGAACCATGAAACATTTTGCAATTTTGTTGAGTCCTTAGTATGTTATCTTTTTAGCTAGGCTTTTAGAAAATCCCCGCACTTTAGAAATTTAGCGTAATATGTTTTGTAATTTAAATAAATCGAGAAACAATTCAAGTGAAAAGTCGATATAACAATATTTCTAATCTCAAGTATGAACGTTGCAAATATTCAACAATTTCGCCTCACTCAAAAATTATAGAAATTATCTCGGAAATTATTGACTGATAGCACGAAATAGGTTTTCACTTTTCCATATGACGAGAATAGCTGAGATCGTTATAGATGTCGGACTGATTCCGAATATAAAGTCTGAACGTATTAATTTCGTCTCAGAACCCGACAATAAATCACAAATTAGATCCGATTCATGTTTTATGACGATCCCCGCCAAGCTCATTAATCAAACGGTCGGCATAAACGGTTCTCGGTACACTTGCGATAGTTTCACCGTGGCGGGTGGAACTTCCAACGATATTGCACAATGTTGCACAATTCCCCGCTCGTTCGCATCGCAATCATCATCCCGCATAAGCCGAACCGTTCGCTCGCTCGTTCGCTCGCTCGCTCCAAGGCGAGCTTTCTCTCCTTCAAGTTCACAGGAATTGCGCGATTAGAATTGCCGCCACGTTATTCGCGATCGAACGAACCGTGACGGATCGGCTGGATCTTTCGGCGAAAGCTTCTTCGCCGTGCGAGATAGTCAATTCGCGATCACAATTAATCGAGCGCCGTGAATGAAGAGCGCTCTCTTCTCATCCCGCTTCCAAAGCGCGCGCCAGCCGTCTCGCGTTTATTTTCAGATCAGAAACGATCGTCTCTCCGAAGAACCTCCTTGCCTCTTCGGAGCCCTTTTCAAGTCGACAAAGAGTCACTTTATTCGCGCTATGCGATCACAATGAGATCGAATATCGCCCCCCGTCAAAATGTATCCACATCGGAGTTCGGAGTTTACATGGGCAACGCGTGCGGTAAATATTTTTCGAGTTCTCTCTCATCACCCGTAACGAGTCGATCAGAATGATGTTAGATAATGAGAAAGGTATTTAAGTTAAGTAATAAAAATGTGCGGAGATTTTTTCTTAAAAAAGGAAAATAATTAGCTTCTAATTTGCTTATCCCAAGAAGTTTCAGAATAAATAAAAATTGTATAGTTTATCTTGCATTTGTTTAAAATTGATTTGTTTAAAAGTATCTTTGACTTATTGCGCGAAAAGTTAAGATATTATAGCGAGTTTAGGCAAAGTGTTTTATGAAATTAGATTCAATGCGTTAATGGCGAACAGGCTAATGTATTTATACTGAAACAATGCGTTCCGCTGCTTATCTTTCGGACACTTGCACAAAGAATTACGATAACGCTTTACTTTGTGAAGATATTCCGGAGATCGCGGTCGGGAGATCGGTCTTCATGATTACCTGCTGATAAAGCAATTCCTGCGCGAGTATATTCGCAATGTCGACCGGGTCCATGGCGGTGGCTGCCATAGCTCGAGGGATCGGTTATTCGTTCAATGTTTCGTTTGTTCGTGTCGTCGAAAGTTATGACGGTGAGATAGTGAGAGATAATGCGTCGTACGGGAACACGGGAAGTCGAGGAAGGGAGAGCGGGGAAAGGGGGATTGGATAACAGAGCGGGGATTGGGAAAGCGGAAATAAATAAATGAATAAAAATGATATCTCAGTCGATCGTTCGTTCGTAGGAAGATCGTTCGGGCGTCGGTGTGCGCTTCGTTCCTCCTATCTCGCTTCGCACCCCCTCCTTTGTAACCGCACCACCCTCGTGCGCCCGTTTCTTTTCACTCGTCGTAGAGTTTGTCGTCAACCACTGCGTCCTCCACCGACGCCTCTTTAACACTGAGCAAGCGACGCCGACGCCGCTCGTCGCTGGCCTTACGCGACGACGAAACTCATCCTAAAAATAACCTTCGAATTTCGAGTATGTGCGCTCCGCGATGAACGCGACGAGGGAGAGAGAGAAAAGCAGGGATGGGGGAGAAATAACATTTTGCAGCTTCGTTAGCATCTCACGTGCATGGACCATTGACCGCTAAAAAAATCCTCGCGCTTACGAACTCGTAAATCGTTTCCAAAAGATAATCGATCGCAATTTGGATTAGATTACGAATAAAGAATAAGATATTGATGTAAAAATTATCAAAAAATAAATATGTTTAATTATAATAATTACTAATTAATTTCACGTGATTATATGAGTTATATTTATGTTTAGAATTGTATATGCATTTTTTTAATGATATACACAATCGGTCATTTGATATTCACAAAAGATAACAGAAAAACTGTCGATTATTTATGTAATCTGGAGTTTTAAATCTCCCTTAAAAAAAAAAAATGAATCAGTGAGACGGTGACTTTGCTCCCGATCAGTGGTTTTCCCAGTAGGCGCGAAATTCCCTGTTACGCGGCCGCTCGCCCGTCTGGAGGGCCTTAATTAGTTCGAGTTCTAAGTTTAACACCTGTGTAGGATCGTTTGTCGTCGACGCCGGTACTCGCGGATTCGTCGACTTGGACCGGAGCCAAGAGATCTCCCGCCACTTTGACGATTTCAAGCGTGTAACGCTTCAATTTCGAGATATCAGAAAGAGGCGTGAATTAATGACCGATCATTCGCATACTTTTGCATTAACACATACAGTAAAAAATTGCTTATCTAACTCAGATTGGCTGTCTCATTTAAATAATTATCAAGTTGATTTGAAAAAATAGAGCAATTGTAATAAGATCTTTAATGCACACAATATCTTTAATATTCTGAGAGAATTTATATTCCATAAAAAATATGTAAAATATCTACAAAATATATTATAAATTTATCTTTTTAAATATAAAATATATTTTCTTTCTGCGCACTCTCCTCCGTTGTAATTTATGCGTTGTTTTTAATATATCGGAGAAACTGGCAGAGAAGCGAAGGCTTAAAATGGTCGCGTCATGCTGGATGGAGTTGTTTGTCTATCTCGCTGGACATTTCCAGGATGCGGCTTCCTCGTATCGCGTCGTTAAGAAGCCTGATGTGGCGCCACGACGATAGCTGGTTTTATTTTCGAGATATTTCATACTGCTGCGACAACGACAAACATCTTTAATGTAAATGCCGAAAAATAGCCTGGATAAAACCAAATAAATGTAATTATTTAGATACAATTAAACTGTTAAAAAGATAAAGTTAAAAGATTAAGCCTGCTCGGACAATAAATTCAAGATTTATTTTATTATGCGATAAACTACAAAAATCAATATATATCGATATTGCAAATTAAATTATATGGAATCTTTTTTTTACACGCATATAGTTTGCATTTTTCTTATCGGGAAGTCGACAATATCTTGTTAAAACCGGTTCGCTTTTGTGCCATTCAGACGGAAGGCTCTATGAACACGCGGTATGGACATTCAAAACCAGGCTTATCTCGCCTTGATATGAAAACACGTGGCAACCAGGTTGTGATAAACAATCCGCGTGTTTGACCAGCCGAGCCTGTCACAGGTTTCGCCAACACTAAACACATATCGCCTGTAATGACCGTTGTTCGTGAAAAGATTACCATACTCATGACGCTACTAGAAAAACTTAACGAAGTATATATGTATGTCAGTAAATTTCCAGAGACACTCAGATTTTTCCGGAGGAAAAGAAAACGAGCTCTCAACACTTTTTTACTCTTCAAAACAATATTCCGATACGTTTCACTTTCATGATTTCTAAGATTTAATATTTTATTATTTTTAATTTTTGCATTATTCCTAACTCTCATTTTCAAATATTTTATTTCGTTCTCCTCTACATGAAATTGCTATGTATAAAATACAATCAAATTAGAATCAAAAGCCATACCGGTCCAAGCTTAGATCTTTGACAGCCTTATATTAATTTTCATGTATATATTTTAAAGAAGCTGGAAAAAATATATGTATATATATACTATATATATACACATAAAAATTAATATAAGGCTGTCAAAGATCAAAGCTTGGACCGTATGGCTTTTGATTCTAATTTGATTGTATATCATAACAGTTCTATTTCTCTTATTATTACGTAAAATATCGCAATATTCTTTTTAAGTAGTAGTAAATAAGTAGTAACAAACAAAGGTTGGAATTATCCCAGGCGTAAACCAGTCCTCTTATTGGATCACTTCTTTTTATCGATCACGTTCGTGGCCGAAGATTATATTTATTTTAATGTAATGCAACGTGCGATTACGCAATGAACACAGTAAACAAGTAAATTGACGTCGACCGAGCACCGCGCAATATTTACTTGTGCGTCTATCGCATTCTCTCTCTTTCTTTCTCTTTTTACTGCCCTTCGCACACTTGGATAATACCGCTGGATATTACGCGGTAAATAATAACGCAACTACGTCAGAGTAGCGTGTTCTATGTGATCGCCGGAAAAAGCGCGGTTGAAAGCCGCAACCGCCGCGCTGCGGCCGCGAGAGCGCAACCTTGGATAACAAAGGAACCTCTATCTTTACTTCCATTTTTGCTGTTTTTAACGCTTCCGCTCGCGAGAGACCCGATGCCTTATTCTTAATACCCGATTTCGCAACTCGCTCGCAAAAGCTCCCGATGGGGGATAATGACAAACGAGATAATGACAAACGGAGCATGAATACGTCATTTTCCATTTTACTTTGTTGTATTATACACGTACTTTCAATTCACCTCGCGTAAGGACATTCTTAGTACCATGGGATATCATAACTCTTCCCGTGAATTCATTAAACTTTCCGTTGATAGTGCTCAATGGAAGAAGAATTCGAGGAGTTAACGAGAAATAAATCATTTCCATCGTATATAACGTCCACTTGCGCATATGTTGCAAGCTTATAGCGAGTTTCCGTGAGTTGAAAGGACGGTTTTTCTTTCCACGATGCGAACGTGTCGATGCCAGTGGTACGCCGAGAACAAAGAATGTAAACATGATAACGGGCGTATGCGCGAGTAGTGTGCGTCTCGAATGCATCGCAACGACGCGACGCGGCCGTCTATACCTACATATATTGCGTGCGCGCGTAAAAGTGCAGCGTATGCAGATAGAAGAGTATATTGCACTTGCAATTAGAGAAAAATCCACGATCTCACGCAAACTAAAACAACGGAAACTGAAATACAATTGGATGAGATATGAATAGAGAAAAAGGATACTAGGCATCACTGTTTTTATTAACGAGTAAGAAACTGAGAAAAATGCAACCATTATAAAACGAGAAGAAACGAGAGGCTAATATTAGATTGCGCAACGAATGCGATGACTATTTATTTTTGTTTTATCGAGTCCGGCGCACAGGAAGGAACTCCGCGCGAGCGCTGTGTTGGCGCGATATTCGGAAAAACACGGAGCGTGCAACGCGATTGGGATTTTCCCGGGAAGATCGCTGGTTAGATCAGTAGGTATATGATTTCGAGATTTGCCACAACCGTCGCGTCGCAAGATTCGAAGCGACGGAAAATCTGCTGCCCCGGGACAGTTTTCTCAAGTTCATTAAGTCGTTGCGCGACAATTTCGCATCGTGCCACTTACTAAAACGCAACATTTGATTCGCCGAGCAGATGCATGCGAGATATGCCATTATGCGCTGCGATTATCTGGCATTATGTGACGTCAATCAGCGCGGCGATGTCGTCACTCGGGTTATTTTCTTTTCTTCTTCAAATCGATAACAAACGATATCGCGGAATCGCAAATCGTTTAATAAATATTGCGACCGCATGCGATTTAATATAATTTATATCTGCTCTCGAAAAAACTGTGCAAAGCGCAACGGCTAAAAACCGACGTGAAACGTCAAAAACGCGCAGGACAGTCGCTGCTTATACATAGATACGGTGTAACGCTGGTATACGTTACGCATACTTCGGTATTAATCAATGGAATGTATTTTGTTGCATAAATTCCTCCTTTTTCACAATGATCGACATTGCTGTTATTCACCTACGATCGCAAAGCCTTTACACGAGGTATTTGTGCGTGAAGAACGGTCAAGGCGGAGAGACGTTCTGTTTAATTACTCTAAAAAGCGACGTTACGTGCACGAAATCGAACCGGGTCTAAAGTGCAAACGGCGAAACGGCGGAGAAAATATGTGCGCGACAAAACAGCGTGGGACGATAATAAGCGCTCTAAAAAAGCGCGCAATAATTATATATTTTTTTCACCGACGAAGATCGACATGCGCGCGCGCGCGCGCGCGTTCGTGGGGTTTTCCAACAGAATAACATCCGCAATAATTTTCTACGGTCGAAGCGCAAAATGATGGCGGCGATTAAAGGTGGAATCGCCGCCACCTGTGCGAAACGGCTCGCGCGCAATTCGTAATCTGCACAGCCAGATTACGAACGGATTGAACTCGCCGCGAGATCGAGAGCCGCTCGTTAAACCAGCAGAGTCCGTCTCGAACGAAAATCATTATCAGCGCGCTGCTAAGAGCGCAATTAACGGCGGAGCCGCGCAAGGACGCGCGCGGCGTTACGGCCTAACCAGCTATCTTTTTTCGCAACAGCCTAAAATGGGAATGATTTTTCGACTCACCTCGAAACGGAGAGCTCGACGACGACCTCGTGCCTGTTCGTGAAACCGCGGTCTGTCCCAACGGGGCCTAACCTGAACTGAACTCGCGTTTCCTTTCACAGAAAACGAAGCGTGGCACGTTTCGTACGCGTGCGTTTCTGACAATCGTCTTGACGTCACGCGCGAGAGCGTGCGCGGGGAAACGTCGCGCCACCGTCGCCGACCTTGCGGTGAATTCGATAGGCCGCGCACGGCAGAGCGAGGCGAGATGAAGAGATAGAGAGATAGAGAGAGAGAGAGAAAAAAAATAGAGGAAAAAGAG